GACTTTTGATTTTACTTCTGAAGTAAACTGGATCCTGGGAGATGGATTGTTTATTTTCTACGAGAATAAATTGTGTAGATCTCTCCTAAGCACTTTAAAAGTATCATCATATTATCTTAACCATATTTAAGACGTGAGGATGCTTGAAAATATGAGCGACTATTGGGGAAACTGGTGAACCCGTAGCAACACCATTTGTCTGTCTACATAAATTCCCTTTAATTGTAAAATAATTACTTTTCAGACAGAATTTCAAGCTCTTAATTATTTCACTGCTGTCCACTGAACATCTTTGTGATACGGTTTTGTCTGATTCCAGTGAAGTGAAAATGATATCAAATTTTACGGTAGTGGGGATACTAGTATATAATGAGTTAATATCATAGCTTAGCATAATGTCTTCTTTATCAATTTCTCGGTGTTCTGTTTCGGATTTAAAATCATAAGAATCTTTCACAACATTTTGAGTGTCCTTTTTGCAGTGATTGTAGTATCGAAAATGAGTATTTGGAGAGGTTGTATGTCGGTGAGTTGGTAAAATCTACTACTGGTCTTAATGGAACTGTGGATTTATGTATCTTTGATTGACCGTAGAATCTTGAAGGTACATAAGATTTCGATTTCAGTTTAAACCAGAGAGAATTTCCAAGTTTTGGTTTCATTTCATGAAGGATTCTGTTGGCATTTAGTTTCACTTTGTTGAATCAGGCAGATTTCCACTTTTCTGCAGTAAGTGAGTGTGATCAGTCGGATAGGTGTTCAACTGCCTTCTTTTCATGATCAGTTCTGATCAGTGACCTTTCCATTGTCGGCTTTAGTTAAAACGACGCCTTTGTCTATCTTCAGATTTCTTAGGGCATCATATTCTTCTTCGCTGAGATTAGATGGTATGTTTCGTTGTGTCATTAATATATGTGATAACTTTTGACGTACAGATTGTGATTCTTTATTGGTGAATTGTTGTAGAGCGGGTTCGATCATAGAAGCTATTTCCTGGACCGATCATGGCTTTCTAGTGATATTGAAATTCAAACCTTTCTGTAGTAATGCGATTTCATTTTCGGTTAGTATCTTGTCTGACATGTTGTGTATGGTTCTAATATTCTTCATATCATTTGTTGAAATTTTCTTTGATCGTTTCTTTTCTCCCTCGCTCTTTGAAGAATTTCCGTATTTTTCTTCTTTTAGTGACATTGTGAAAATGTGATTCGCGTTCTTCAAACAGCTTTCGAAAGGATTCGTATATGAGTTGTAAGTAGTAGCGTTAAATATTCGTCTATATTTTGATTCTTGCTCGATAAGATTCAGTTTTGATGTTGCAATTATGTATTCATTCTGCTGAAAATACTTTGAAGGTACGATTCGCAGTGAGTAGGGATTTGTGAGAAGATTTGAGAAGTTTCAATCGTAGAGAATTTGAAATAAATTCATTGTGTGTATGACCTACGTTAAAGGCACGATGATTGCTGAAGAAAGACTGATGATTTGAGAAAATAAACCAGCTTTTAATTAAGTCGTTTATATATATATATATATATAAATGTATTTGAATTCACAAACTGAATTGACATCAAAGATACAAGTATGGTATCTTTGGACGCAACGTGTCTGTTTTTACCAATGAACCTCTAAAATGGAACAGTTAATTACATCTGCAATTAAAAATTATTGAAAAAACAATGAAAATTGAGATGCAATTATGAATGCAGAAAGAACTGTTGCCAAAGTATACCATGAGTGTGAATTTTAAATTTGGCTGTGAACTCTAAAGACAAGTGGACGAAGTGGCTGGCAGTGAACACTCTGTTTGGTCCCAAGTCAGCAGATTTTTCCGAGTAGACTAGAAAGTGTTTCTATGAAAATCCGTTTCAAAACATTCTCGTTTTATTGGAGATATAGAGAATGATAGTCTCATTCTTTGTGAGAATGATTTGGACAGGAGCTCAGTTACATCTCGATCCAATGAAGTATGTTAACCTATCGCATTCATGTGTGAAGGATTTCATTTTTGAATTTCGTTTTGTCTGTTCAATTTGTATACGCCTCCTTTATTTCGTCAATTGATACTATTACTATTCTCACGTCGAACTGTCCCCGGTATTATTTAACTCGTTCCACTTGTCATTCTATGTGAATTCTGTTTTGCAACGTAAAATTCTATGTTATCAAATTTCACACAGTGTTACGTGACGTTTGTATTTTATTCTGTGTTATTCGATTCGCCTACTAATCCTATGATTGCACACTCCTTCACAGTCTTAAACATCCTAAGAATTATTCGGTATATGACATTAAATGTTTCTCCACTCGACATTTAACTATGATTATCATGAGAAAGATTTTACTTGCAGTTCATACTATTATTATAATCATCATTTTATAAATTCACTCAGACCTATGATTCAATTCCCTCACCGGATATAACTTCTTAAACAAAAGCATATATACACGCGATTGTACAACTTGATAATGAATTCGTTGGAAACAGACTCTTCGCTGAATCACTTGTCTTGATTTTCCAAATGTAACAGTGGGAATTTTCCATGAAATTATAACCAACAATTTGAGAAAATCGATTCAAAGGAGGTTAAACGCCGGTGAGCTGCAGCTTATATTACCCACACAGTCAGCTGTGATTCCTAAACTAAAAGATAAAGCAACTAGAATAGTCATCTCAAATTGTATATGCCAACTGAACTACTCCTGTGGAGCCCCGTATTTCGGCCGTTACTCTGGGAAACTAATGTTTGTTCTCTAAAACGCCTACCAGTGTGTCTCAATAGAAATGTGGTGTTTCAACCATCACCGGTTCCATATCGGACCACCTCGTTCAAACATATCACAACGCTCTCATTGAAGAGACTTTCTCTGTCAACTCTCAACCATCAAATACATTACCGAAGATCTCAAAACTCGATCAATCAAAACGGCTGTGGTCATTCAATTTTGTGTAAATCCACAGGAGCTCTGCAAGCAAGAGAAATGGTCCAGTCTGCCATCATTGTTACCCTGACCTGTTGTTGAGCCTATAAATTCATGAATTCTGTGTGTGTCACTTTCCTCACTGTATCTGACATTCAGTCAGTTGAGTGTTGTATTAGTGCAGATTATCGGTCTCTTTTGCTGATGCTTTCGAAATGTAATCAGTGGATGCGATTGACTTAGTGTGATTTAAAACAGCATTAATATTCGTAATGATATCGTCATTTCTTGAATTACTACTGTTATTATAAACCTAGAACGTGATGACAAATTACTCGATTGGAAAGAATATTCTTTGCTCCTTAATCAGTCCTTGAAATTTTCAGTGAGCATCTTGAATGAAAGAAAACGTAGACTTCTCAGACTGTTCTTATCGCCGCAATCTTACTCTTTGTGCAAATATCTTCCAGAGCCTCACGTATACAACCGGATAAGTGAAAGGGAGCATGGGTGGAAGGGATCGTTTTGTCTCATTACAGGCATCTAGTTCGAGTTGATTTCACCATTCTACTAATGATGACACATAAAACTGAACATTCTTCCTGTCATTCTTCAGCAAGATTTTGTCTCTATCTGTTGGTATAACAGTGGAATTCTTTGATTGATGTTTCAATGAAATGCACCTTCTTGAGAAGTCGCTCAGAATATTTCCTTCCTCAACTCATTTAAGGGTGGTAGTGAACAAGTATATTCTGGCTCTTTTGTAATTGAGTAATTGATGTGTATGGACTGACTGTGCCTGTACACATGAGTATTTCCAAGTCTCCTGTTCCTTGACGCTTGACTGAGGCATTCGAAACTGGATGACATTCCCTATTTCTTCTTCTCTCGTGATATCATTCGATATCATTCGAAACATTGTTCACCAGGTTCCAAGTGACTTTCAGGTCAACATTTATTATAATGGTATGTATAAATGGTCTGGATGAAGTGACGAGGATTGACTTGGAGTCTGTTCACGGGAAACTGGTGTGTATTCCTTGCCTGTCAATTTCTACAATTAGCCCAAATATATATATAACAGCATTGCAGGCATCAATCAATAGTTCAGACACTAAGATGAGTGGTCTCATAGTGACCCATGTTATTATTATTCGTCATCGTAGTATACTTTCACTATGTAATTTGACTTTGATTTCTATATCATTCTGAAGATCTCGTGTTACCAACTGATACATTGTACCAAATCAACTTTTGAACTTTGATTACTGCGATAATACACGTTCGTACTGCTTCTCAAGTGGCTTTTGATTTACGTTGTGTATGTCGAGTGATGACACCGTTTGGACAAAATAATAAAAGCGAAGCAGTACTAGGATATACGTGCACGCCAGTTTTGTCAAATAGAGCAACACAACAATCTCTTTCGGTAGTATTTCTAACAAACGTTTGCCAGTGAAAACACCAGCTGTTGAATTTGTTTTTAATTTGAACATGGTTTGTTCGTTCATCATTTTTGGATATCCAGAAATATACTCCAGGTTGTGGAACGTTCTACAAAGTCATCCTTGTTACGTGTATTCGGCGTTAAAGTGGTGAATACATACATCGGCTGTGAGAAGTTCAAGTCTCAGTGGGATTATCGACAACCACTCCGTTGCTAATGCTGGTACATCCAAATGAAGAAGATGAGACCAAAACAGGATGAAATGTGCACACTCGATTCCATTGCTGGTCACCAAGCAACTAACCACCACAAAAATATTTTTGAATATACATTATTCATTATTATTATTATTATTATCATTATTGATTTGACCATCTTTCCGTTTCCGTTGCTGTTAAAATCATTTGTTTCGAGAAGTCTGTGAAACTGGGTCACTTCTGCTCGATAACAGGTTGAACAATACGCAATCAACGACACTGAGAAGTGAGCCCCCTGTAAGTTTCGATTCGGACCTATAACTCTTCGTTGATTCCACGACATTATACATCCACCACTGGGCCTTCTGAGTCTACAGATTCAAGCTATGGAATCTTGATTTAATAAAGAGTAGGTGTTGGAAGTATCATTAACCGAAGTAGGGCACCTACGGTTATTTCAGTATTTAGATTAGACCTTAAATATCAGCTTTAACCGGCCAGTATGGTGCCCTTTCCTTGTAGAAACTCAAATGAGAAACGTTCATTCACGTACCAATAATTTATTGAAGTTTATGCAGCAGGTACAGAAATTTCTCCAGCATTCACTTTCTCAATGATGACTTGAGGAGATTCACCATCTACTGTACAACCAACTGACCGAGCAGTACCAAGAACCTCCTTAACTGTCCCGGAGAGCTCACGAGCAATACTCCTGGGACGCATTGTTCGCGCAATCTCCAAAATCTCATCAAATGTAAGATTGCCATTGTGCTTAATATTTTTCACCTTCTTTCTATCACGTGGCTCTTCCTTTAAGGCTTTTATAATAAGAGAAGAAGCCGTCGGTACGACGCTTATTGTCGCCTGTCGATTTTGAATTGTCAATTTGACGCATATACGTAATCCTTTCCATTCTTGAGTGGTTTTTGCAATGTCATCACCAACCTTTTTTGGAGACAAACCAAGAGGACCAATTTTAGGTGCTAACGATGAAGTAGCACCAACTTCACCTCCAATAACTCTCAAATAACCTGAGAAGATAGAAGAAACCAAGCCAGAACTTACAATAAGTCACAGCAGATGGATCGAGCTTGGGAGGCATGTCGTGTGGTGAATCTGGCGCCTTAAACTGAGGAAGAAACGAAGGTACTTTTCAGACTTAGATGGCTACATTGAACACTTCAATTGACGAGTTGTCTACTGTTTACATATCCCACAAGTAGAGAGTAATATAATTTAGGCTTATTTATTGAAATTAATTCTAATTTTCTTGTGGGTAAATGGCGCGATGTTGGCTCATTGCACACTTGACTGCGCTGCAGACAATTCTCTCGTAGAGAAACTAGGCTTATGGACATTAAAGTTCCAGAATCCTATAGCTGGCCATCTCAGTATCCCATCAGTTCACTGTATAATTCCTACGATGCCACCTCCATACGCGTGATATGATCACAAAGTGATACAGTCTTCTTTTTCACTATCTGTAGCTCAGAAAGACAAGAAACCTACGCGTTATAATTCGCAGCACTCCTAATCATCCTTTAACCTTTTTTCCCCCACATTGTCGATTTCAAACTCATACAACATATTACACTACTAACAAGGAGTGATCATACTGCTCACGTTGATTTTCACATCTGAAGTATTATCTTGAGGCCACCCCCCCACAGGTCTACCAAACGTATGGAAAGACCACGTAATTGTCGTCATTCCTGCAGCTTCATCAGGGGAAAGTAATCTAAATCCGGAGTCTCTGACAGAAAGTGCTTGGAGTGGACTCAAGTAACTTTATGCATGGGTAACCCAGCCCTTCGTCGTTTGATATGTCCCATAAGGTCGAAAACTTTGTCCCCTATTGATGAACTTAATGATTCGTAGGTTACTCAAGCGTAAGCAAAATTACTTGGACCTGTTTATCATACTTGAGACTTCTGCTGTCAGGAAATTACACACCGGCCACTGCAGTAAATAGCTGATCACGGATGACGTTTGAAATTTATCTAGTTAGAAACGCAGTGTCTTCATCAGAGAAAATATTTTAGTGCATGAAACAGGAATAAGACGTCCATCGGAATCCCACACCTAACATTTTGAGCCGACACAATCAAAGAAGATCGGAAAAATACGGAAGCATTGGTAGAATGATTCCCCAGAGTTTTCACAAAGGAGTTGTCACAACTCATAGAATCAGCCCCAAGGTTATTAAGATATATCTTGTCGATACTGATGTCATACTGCAGTCAACAAAAACTGCACATGGTGAAATCAGTGGGGTCCGGCCATGTTCTCCCAAGGCTTCTCAAGGAGCTCGCAGCTCACATATCTGCCTCACTGGCTATGGCCTTCAGGCCATCTCTCTAAAACAGACGTACTAAGCGACTGGAAAGGGACCCCAATAATTCCCATTCCCATGACAGTATCCAGTCGCTGCCCTTCAAACTATGGGCCCATAAATCATTCCAGCACCTTGATTAAGATGCTGGAAAGACTAATCAAGGAAGCTATCATAGCGTATTTAGTAACCGAAAACGTCAGTGTATGGCACGGTTTGCGAGAGAACCTTTCGTGACTAGCAAACGTTATTACTACAAATGAGAACTGGGTCAAATCCAGAGAAAACAACGAGCCCATCGACGTTGTTTTCAATGGTTTTACTAAAGCTTTCAGTGAAGTGCAACCAACAACACTATTCATGAAGTTGGAGCGTTGTGGGACCATTTGCTGCTCGATAAAATGAACATGTGAATTCCTCACAGTCCATATAACTCCTTAAAGAGTCAGAATCAACTCAAATCCCTGTTCCTGGACAACGGCACTGAGTAAAGTGCCACAAGACAGCATTAGACTCTCTCTCATCAATTCAGGATGTCAATTAACTATCTACCCTTACCGAATCCCTTAAAGTGCTCTGCGCAGATGACCTCAGAAGTGTCGAGATAACTTAAGGAGTAGCTACGTGGCTACGCTGCAAACAGATCTCAACAAAATGGCCAGCAAATGAATGCTACCAATAAACGTATCTAATTGAGCTACATGAGCATTGGGCATGCAAGGATCAACTCATATTAAGCTGAGACAAACATAAATCTAAGTGTCACGGTAAGCCATGACCTAAAAACTACGGCACATTGTCGTGCGCTTGCAGCATGCAGCTTTGTATCTTTATGGGCAATACGACGAGTCTTTACCAGAATCACCTGCGAAATTTCCACCGCCTAATATGCATCTTTGGTGAGGTTGAAGCTGGAAAACTGAATCCATGCAGCCAGCCTTTGTCTCACATTCTGGAAAGGGCCCAAAAGTAGGCTGTACGTATGAATCCATGTGTGAATAACTTCTCACGAGAGGGAAGAGTTAACAGCTTGAATCCCTTCTTTTCATATCATGGCCATAGGGAACTCGCCACAATGTTCAGAATTCTAAGAAGTGATATTGTCCCTGATCTATCTCCTCTTTCTGCCCTCATGAATTTGGAACTCTGCAGATAACATAGTAGGGAAGTCCAGAAGTTCAGAGGAAACTATATCTCTGCGAAGTACTACATCCACCCCACCTAGTCATAGACCCTCGTAACCTACTGGCATAGTAAGTGGTTTCTACACTGCAAAATGACTCATTTAAAAAGTGATTCGGCAGGCCCAGATACTAATTGGTAAAGGATTAACACAGGCTTGGAGTCTTCTCTCCTCGAGAATAATTGGCATAATGCAAGTCATGATCTTGCAAATATTTAAGGCTTTCATAGGAAACTGAATCCAGAAATATTTGCAAGGTATAAAATCTCCAGAACCTGAGTGAAACGAAATTGACTTTCCTAAACTCCTCCCATCAGTTCTTCACGTCCTGCTTTTTTTCAATTTCTGTGTGCTAGTCCCATACTTTCAGAGGTATAATTGCGACTTCAGCTAGTGTTCTTCATAACGTCAGTGACATTCAAAAAAAAAGGATTTTAAACTTAATTTCAGTGATGCATGATGCAATACAAATGCTTTCACTGCACTTCTTTATAAGGTATTAATATTATCACCGCATATATTTTGATATTTGTGTCCTTACTATTCTCCTGAGCTTCGCGGACTAACTGCCAAACCTCAAAAGCCTCAAACGCCCCATGTCCACCTCCTAAAACAGCTCCGAAATCAAGAATTTGTGTGTAATACCCTGTCCAAATGACAACATAGGTACTACAGTTGCTTCATCTATAAAACTAATTGACTTTACCGTCTGTGCTATACGCACTTTCCTGCATGAAATTCAAGGATTTTATCAAGTTGCTTTGGAGAGTTTATAATAATAATATTTTGTCCACATAAGTCTAGCATCTACATGGTTGACATACCGTTGGTAAAGACATGATCATAGTTGACAAATACAATTTTAGACTGAAGACTGTTTTATGACATATATATTGAAAAAATGAAAAAAACCTAGAAACTATGTAAGAAGTTTGTAATGTTTACTTTTAGCCGGATAAGATATAAAATATTGGTTTAAGTCTAAGTTATAATCGTAATTATGCATATAGTCAGTCAGCTTCACCAGAGAATTATAAAAGGTGGTGTTATTGGAAGGTAAAAAGAAGAATGATACACAAGTTCTAGAGTAAGACGAACAGGATGCAGAACTCACAATCCTTATCAGTTTATCAGTTATAAAGGGTTTGAAAATTCGTAAAATTCTACAGTAGCCCATAAGTACAGTATCGTTTTGATTTTATCAGATTTATGAGACCAACTTTGCGATAATAAAAAGATATCATAACGGAGGTTGCTCCGTTATTCATCATACATGCTCACAATATTCTGTATATCCACCAAATATAGGTTCTAGTGATTTCAAAATTCCTTTCAAGTAATATGGAAGTAGAAAGCAGCATTACTGCACATATATACTGCTCCAACGCAGAACCTTCGAAGTGAGAAGACAGAAGAAAACAGCAAGAGAGGTGTAGAGGCAGTCAGTAAATATTAATAATTTAAAAACAATATGCGATACACGCAGGGTTCATTCTCTTTATTTTATTAATAAGAATTTATGGTCACTGGGTTTTATAATATTACGTACTAAAGGTTAGTTCAAGTTTATGGTAGTAAAAAAACTAATAGAGAAACGAATGATGTTAATTATTCCACCTATGTAGGGTAATGTTGGGAATAGATACTGGAAATGTTAAATCCAAACGCCAAAGTACATAAAATATGTAGAAGAAAAGAGAAAGCTCAGTAATGTTTATGCTGTTGTTCTGATTTATATAGTTAGATGTACTTCTGAAGCAGGAAAATCAAACCATGAGCTTGTTTTGAGGGAGTTTATACCGAAGCTGTCGCATTCAGGCAGTTTTTATATTTAATTATGGGTAAAAATTATTTTGATAAAGTCTCACAGTGTTATAAAGTAATATTTACTGACAACGTTTTGAACACAATTTATCGCTCATAATCATATCAATGGAATTATACTCTACCACAGAGAACAAGTTTTATTTTTATATCAGTTTTTATCTTTCTTTTTGTTGAAGTTATTCAAACTCAGTAGCCTAGCAATAGAGCGCGATAGGACTGTAGCCGCAGGAATAATTTTGCCTACAGATTTGGTCCTCACTGTTAATGCTGACGTTACAGGGTGTGTGCCTCACTACAGTTAAAACTCGGGTTACTTAAGATGGACCTTATCTGTATCGAACAGTAATGATATGTGGAACAAAAGTAACTAGCGAATTACTTTTAATACATATAAAAGAATAAAACATCTATCCATAAGTGGTAGGCATGTCTATTAAGTAAGGCAATGATCACAAAAGACAGCTCAGACCAAACTGATTGGTGGATTGTCATATGTCTGTCTGGCACCATTAGCAACAAAGAGAGGTCACGTTGATTGTTCTACTGTTATAAAGTCTGCATTTTGTGATTAACATATTGATTGTTGTACTGTTATAAGTTCTTTCTGTCGTAATAACAACGCTCCTTGCGAAACGACCAGAACCTCCAACTTATCTGCTTCTTCCAAAAAACGTAGGCTTCTCGTATCTCAATCGGCCTCTTGGTTCTCAGTTTTCAATCTCACCGTCTTGGTCGTAGTAGACCCCCTTGACGAAAGCTTTTGGCCACAGACCTCTTTGAATGTCAGGGCTGTTTACGAGGACTAGATGGCCGGGCTGTAGGAAGGGATAAAACAAAGATATGTGGAGAGGTGATGAGTCTAAT